TGGCCAAGCAGTTTAAGACAAAGTAGGCAATGCCAATAGCTTAAGGATTAGTCTCTTCCCTCATCTAATCCTTTGCTTCCACAGACTCAAGGTGCAGCAGGACATCATTGACCTGCAGCGCGTCAAGCTGGAGCGGCAGGAGCGTCTCATAATGCAGCTAAAGCTAAACAAGCTCAGCGAGGAGGCGAAGGCGGCGCGTGAGGATCTCAAACAGGAGCTGAAGACTGTCATTCGATGCGGCGATCCCAAGGCCAAGGCCAAAGCCAGATGCCTGCAATTAATTGGCAGCCTGCGCGATGCGGAGGATGAGGAATTCGAGAGGCTGCAGGGCAGGGCGTTGCTGCAGCCGCGCTTCCTGCAACACATGCAGGAGCGAGCGCTGGAGCGAAGCGTGCGGCATGAGCAAGCGCGTCAGCGTAGGGCACAGGCGGAGGCTGAGCGAGAGGCTGCCAAGTTGGCTTTGGAGGAGGCAAAGGTAAGTCAGGGCAGGCATATAGAAACATAGACATATACACTTACCTGCTGACTACACAGCGCCAGGAGGACGAGGAGGCCAAGCGGCTGCGCATTGAGGTGCTGAAGGAGAAGCGCCGCCAGGAGAAAATGGCAAAGGTGCTGAAGGAGCGCGAGCGCCAGCGTTTCCTGGAGAATCAGCGCAAGGCTCTTGAGTTTAGTCGTCGTCTGTTCCTGCGCCTGGGCATGGAATGCTTCAAGCGTCTCATTCAACGCAAGCGCGACAATCTGGTCAAAAGCGAAGAGTTCTGCCGTCGCCTCTACAAGCGCAAATTCTTTGTGGAGTGGCGCAAATACGCGGAATTCAGCGTCCGACAGAAGCACATACGGGCCGAGCTCTGTTACGAGAAGGCACTAAAGCGCAGAGCCCTGCAAGAGTGGCGTCTTTATGCCGTGGAGCAGCGCAACAAGATGTTGGTGGCCATCGACTGGCATGCCTTGCGCTGCACGGAGCATTGGTTCGGCCGCTGGCTAGGCTATACCACCGGCTGTCGCCTGATTGAGGACACGAAGATGCAGCAGGCTATCTCGCATCATGAATGGTAAGTGCTTGCAGTATATATCAACAACATTACCTTACTCTGATTCTCCTTTAGGCATCTCAAGTGGAAAGTCCTGGATTGCTGGCGACGCTTACCACAAATTTTGCGCTTAGAAAAGGAGACGGAGGAGCGACGTCAGCGTTGGCGCATGAAGATCTGGGAACTGCTGCCCGATTACAAGCCAAGAGAGGATAGTTTATGGTAGCTTTAATATTGTTTGGTATTGTAAATTTACTTTTTTGGTTAACTCAACGGTATCGTAAAGATAAGTCGTTGTTTTCAAAGCAGAGTTGCATGCGCACAGTGGTGGCACAACTAATAGATATACCTGTAATTACACTTTTTTAGTTCTAATTGGAGAACAGAACTGACCCAATTGTTAGACCTCCCAATAATTAGACAAAATTGTATATTTTAAATATTGTCTTTATGAATATTCATTTTATTTTTATTCAATAAATTGCTTTATCTAATAGAAGCGACAACATAAGCGAAATTGCCAAATTAATTTTTACAATAAGTGTGGTTTGTCTAACTTAAACAAGAAAAACAAATAATAATTAGAACAATTACATTTTAAGAACACCTTTGTGCGAAGCTCTAAAAACTATTAATACACCTTAAATTGTATCATATATTGGGATAGTTTCCTTGAACTTATATTTTAACATATTTCGATTAATTGTTCAATCACGACTAAGGCTCTGAAATAGTTGTAATACTAAATGCTTAAACGTATTTCTACATAAGCTTAAATTGCGCGCTCGAGCTTGACCCTAAATATATAAATAAGCACATATACATTAATATGTATAGCTTAATATCTAATTGGCTCCGACAGCAGCAGCTAATACATTGAAGAATTTGTAGCTCAGTGTAAATGTTGCATTAGTTTAGTATTTGGTATTTTTTGGTTGATTTCTCATTACTTTAAAATTGCGCGCCAATTGCTCCAAACACGATTCCGACTCCCATTGGGAGTTGAAATACGTTTATACTCGTGCAAAGTGGTGCCGCGCCACCACAAAAACAATTGACGGAGTAGAACAAAAGTAATAAAACCAGAGATCAGCAAGGCATACGCAGCCACAACGAACGAGATGCCCAATCTAATTATGAAGGAAAAAAGATTAAATAAGTGATGTTATATAATTTGAGCTCCAACTCACTCAAAGTCCTCGAAGACCTCGCTGCAGTCATCGGGTAGCAGGAGAGGAATTCCTAGCAGACGCACCACTAGGAATGGATGACAGACAGCAGTCAATGTCAGATTGGCGCCCAGCAGCAGAGCACATTCAGAGAGGACCAAGGCCAGCAGGTAGCAGCGATAGTTGCTTTCGCCAATGCAACAGTTGAGCCAAAAGCTGTGATGGGATCGGCGCTTCACACAGCTGCCACAGATGACACAGTGATAGGCACGTCGAGGTGTTACCTTGCGACAAATCTCACAGATGTTTGGCTGCGAATGTTGCATAAGACCCGCATCTTCATTCTCCTCCTCATCGTCCTCGATGCCCAGCACAGTGTCCGCCATGAGGGTAACTGCTTCATGTGCTTGCTGTTCGGCCTGCTCCTCACCACTGGAGGCTTCCGTGATGCCTGGCAGCTCATCTCGTGGCGTGTTTCCGTATTGCGTCGTCACCAGATCCAGTGACGCCAATTTCTGTACACGATAAAGCATATAAAGTGCTCCGATCGACAAGCTAAGTAACAGATAATTCTCCTCTGGTAGCAGCTCCAGCAACGGCACCGCAGACTCAAAGATGATGGCCATGTAGCAGACGGAAAATACAACCCAGCTGCGAAAGAAACTCGTCTTTGTGGCCGTACGCTCAGCCACTTGCAAGCCCCAGCAGGTGAACCCAATCAGCGTTAGCATCATCACAATTGCCGTCTTTGCATTGAGTGCAGCCAAGCAAATCATGACCGGGATAATTAAAGCTGGAGCCAAAGCAGCGGGCGAGATGCGCTTGGCGCCGCCCCGCCAAGGCAGACGCAGTCGATCCTGGAACGCAATCAACATGTTGTCCAAATTGCGCTTATCAATGGGTTTGCAGAAGATAAATCTGAAAATAGTATGTGGATGTAGATATATTTCTTTTGAATTCAATCCAATTTATGGTATGCATTTGACTATGGCTAAACGTAACTTTAGCCCGAGTTTCCTTCGATTCGCTTGCCATGTCTTGTGCAATTTTTCTTACCTTGTGCATACCAAATCAAAGTCTTCGCAATTACAACAGCATCCTAGTATATGAAATCGCTTCCTATCATGTCCAATATATTCGCAGCAGCAAAGGCTACGATTTTCCTTTTCCTCCCGTTCGGCTTCTTCAGCTGCAGCAATAAAATTCGACATTCAAGCCGGATCGATTTGCAAGTTTTGAACAAAAGAAAAAGTTTGTTTTATAGCCACGCAGCGTGTGTGGAAGAATAATTTGTTTATATTAATTTAAGACCAGCCACAAGGTGGGAATAAAATGTGAAATTGAATACTATATTTAAACATATTAAAATATTACTTTTAATAGGCACTTCAATTACTTTCTACTTACACGCTTAACTCTTCAGCGATAACAACAAAAGCCCACCCCCCCATCACAGGGTGACCTGTGACCGTAAAAATCATCGGCGATAGTTGATTTTTTATTGTAACTTTAATTCAATTATGCCGCGCTTTAAATTTTCGTCAGCATTCCATAAGTAGTTAGTTTTAAAAACATTCTCACTTTTAACATAATCAATAAATTGCTCTAAACCACCGCCTACACCGAAATAATGTGATTTGCCAGCTACTAAAACCCTTCCATCTTTCTTGAGGCGTTTTCGGAATGTTTCTAAAAGCTTTTGTTGGTTTTCTATGTTGTAAATGGTTTCTGATGACAGTATTATATCATATTTTTCTAAATTATTTGTGAGCTCCGCGAAATATGACCAGTCGCCTGCATAGAAGTGGCACTTCTGTAGGAGCTCCATTTTCTCATCATCGTTTAACGTATCTTCGAAGTTAAGCAGCACATTTGGCATTGTTATTTTCTCTAAGACATCCTTGTTCTACAAAAAATTACAAGGTTTATTAAACAATAATGATATGGTATAACTGTTAACTTACATAGTCTTGAAAGTCAACTTTTGCGCCACATTTAAAGGCATATATGCCTAGAAGTCCGGAGCCACAACCCAAGTCCAAAACCAACTTCTCTTTCCAATCCGATTTTTCAAAGTTTTTCGAAAGATATATCAGTAAATCATCGGTACATTCCCAAATTTTGGCACCACCTGGTGTTATAAGGTTTTGTATATACAGGTAAAAGAAAATACTACATTTTATTTATCAAACCTTCATAGACGCCTGCTATTAAGTCAGAGTGACTTTCTTCTGACTTCCTTAAGTCCTGGGTGTCTAAATCATTGTGTTTTTTAATATCTTCTAGCAGAAAGCCCGCAATCAGATGTCGTAATTCGATATCGCCGATAGTTAGTTCTTTTGCGTTGAGTTCGAAGATATCCAAATTTTGTAAGAGATCTTTCGTTGGCTTTATTTCCTCAGCTTGATACCAGTCAATCTTTTCTTTTTTCTTTGGCAAATCTGATTTTGGCTTTTCAACAATTTTCGGTTTTTTAAAAGGACTTTCAGTATCCGATGAATCGGACTCGTTCACTTCAAAATTGAACTCGAACATTTTAGCACTCAAGTCACCCTGTTTGTTTTGGTTCACTGTTGTTTGACCGGCAAGCAGAAAAACTGGCGCAAAGAATAATTTTAAGTAATTATTATTTTTGGAAATCTATAAATATGTTTGTTTTTACCTAATAGTAATTTAATTTAACTGAAACTCAGTTGTTAAAAATGTAATTCCACACACTAAGTGGAAGCACGCTGCTTACACCAGATTATCGATAACATTAACTAGTGGTGTGAGACCGGAATCGGCTGAGCCACCACAAAAGTCAGACGATAAACGCGAATAGGACATCACCAAATTTTGCATTTTCGCTGGACTTTTTGTTTATTTTATTAAAAATATAATAAAAATGGCTGATCAAATTCAACCTGATGTAAGTAAAAAGTTTGAGATTAAAGCTTTAAAATTAAAAGAAACATTTCCAACAGGGCGGTCCCCCGGCGCCATTGATGTCCATTCGTTTCGAGCCGCAGCAAACGGCCGAAAATGCGGCTGCTAATGGCAGTGGAGCCGGCGACGTTGAAGGCGCCCAAGTGGCTGTTGAAACTAAGAAAGCGGCTGAGCTAGTGTTACCAAAAGCGCTAGAAGATGTGTTGGCACTCAAAGATCAGCGTGTGGCTGAATTTGATGTGGACGTTGATGCAAGAGGGGGCCTTGCTGCAGACGGGGGCTCGCAAGACGGCGACTTCGCCGATGTAGGCGATGATAGCGATGACGAGGCCGATAACCAAATAAATGGTAATACCAACGATAAATCTAGCAAGCAAAGTAAGGCGGACAAAAATAAAAAGAAGAAACGTCGCAAGAAGCAAAATAAAAAGTTACGACAAAAATTGGAATTGGAGCGACAACAGCAACTGGCACGACGCTCTGAGCCAAGAGAGGAACCCGAGGAAGAAGCCAAAGCAGCTGGCAGTGACGATGAAGAGCAGCCAGCGAAGGAAAAGGAGTCTAAGAGAGAGACACGCAGCAGCAAAAAGAAGAAGGACCGCGAAGAGAAAGAAAAAGTTAAAGAGCGAAATAAGTCGGAAAGCAACGAGGAAGATGTAACCATTGAGTAAGTACACCCAGCTTTGGGATTTCTTTTAATATTAATACATCCACAATTTAAGGTATGTGCCGGAGAAAATTACCATAGCAGATCTGGCGCCCATGTACCGTCAATTCTATCGTGTATTTGAGATCTTTAAGCTGGAGAATAAGCCAAAGCCCGTGGAAAAGGATAAGGCAGCTCTGGATGCCGAAGCACTAGCAAAAGCTAAGAAATCCTCGAACAAAATGCACGACGACGATGACGATGATGCCGACGATGACGATGACAATAAGGAAGACAAAGAGAAGTTATCCAAGCGCAAGTTAAAGAAGCTTACACGCCTCAGTGTAGCGGAGTTAAAGCAATTGGTTTCCCGACCAGATGTTGTGGAAATGCACGATGTGACAGCAAGAGATCCCAAATTGCTCGTCCAGCTGAAAGCGTATCGCAATACGGTGCAGGTGCCACGCCATTGGTGCTTCAAGCGTAAATATCTGCAGGGCAAACGTGGTATTGAGAAGCCGCCATTTGATCTGCCCGCCTTCATCAAGAAAACTGGCATCATGGAGATGCGTGAATCACTGCAAGAGCGCGAGGATGCAAAAACTCTGAAAGCGAAAATGAGGGAACGTGTTCGCCCTAAAATGGGCAAAATCGACATAGACTATCAGAAACTGCACGATGCCTTCTTCAAATGGCAAACCAAGCCTCGCATGACCATTCACGGAGATCTGTATTATGAGGGCAAGGAGTTCGAGACACGTCTCAAAGAGAAGAAACCCGGAGATTTGTCTGAAGAGTTGCGTATTGCATTGGGTATGCCCGTTGGACCAAATTCGCACAAAATACCGCCTCCATGGTTGATTGCTCAACAACGTTACGGACCACCGCCCTCGTATCCGAATCTAAAAATACCCGGCCTTAACGCGCCCATACCAGAGGGCACTTCGTTTGGCTATCATGCCGGTGGCTGGGGTAAGCCGCCAGTCGATGAAAATGGCAAGCCGCTCTATGGCGATGTATTCGGCATGAATACTCTGGACTTGGATGTGAGTAGATTAACTAACAAATATCATATGAAAGCAAATATGAATCTTTCATTTCGTTCACAGAATGGTATTGATGAGGCAGACATTGAGCGCAATCAATGGGGTGAGCTGGAGTCGGAGTCGGAGGAATCTTCCGAAGAGGAAGAGGAGGACGGTGAGGATCTGGGCAACCAGCAGGATGAAACTGGCCTGGTTACACCTGTCGAGGGTCTGGTCACGCCGTCTGGTCTAACCAGTGTTCCCGCGGGCATGGAAACACCCGAAAATATTGAGCTGCGCAAAAAGAAAATCGAAGCCGAAATGGAGGAGTAAGCTTATAATGAAATCATCTACAAACAAGAAAAGCTAACCTGTAATCCTCTTGTAGCAATGAAACACCTGTACTCTACCAAGTGCTGCCAGAGAAGCGCACCGATCGCATTGGCGCCTCCATGATGGGCTCCACACATGTGTATGATATTGGTGGCGCCGGCGCCGGTGCAAATAAACAGCCACCCGTACGCTCCACAACGGATCGTGAAGGCATTGTGGAACTTGCTTTGGATCCGAGTGAATTGGACCTGGACAACGATGCGATGGCTCAGCGCTATGAGCAACAAATGCGCGAACAACAGAATCATCTGCAAAAGGAGGATCTGTCAGACATGTTGGCCGAGCATGTGGCTCGACAGAAATCCAAACGCAAGCGACAACAAACTGACCCGGCTAAGACCACCAAGAAGTACAAGGAATTCAAGTTTTAGTGCATCAATTTCTTTGCTAAGATTCAAGATTGTCATTGAAAAGAAAATAATAGTAAACATTTTAAAACTGATTGCAACTGCATTTACTATTACTTAAAAGTTTATTATGTTTTTCAGTTCAGCCAGCGAACAAAATTTTATTCAATTCCCAAAATTGAGCAGTTCTACGTAACGAAGTTAGCACAAAGATATTATCAAAATTTACAATCGTATAACAAAAGTTTCTTCAAAATTAATGAGATCATTACAACCTCTCCTTTGAATAAAAAATGAATAACTCGTTCGTTTTGTTGTTCACACAAAGTGCGAATATTATTTCTTTTGCTTGATGTCTTATAAAATGATCATATTATTATTCAAATTTCTTTACAATAAAACTTAGCGCTGATGAAAAAACTTACATATTCTGTTGTTGCCTGTTGTGTGTTGCGACAGGTGGCCAAAAAAGGATTCCCGAGCAAAGCAAGTGAGGAGCTGTGCGATAGTACAAATACATTATAGCATTTACAAACTATATATGTAGCTGTAGCTGAATGAACGTATCTTTTATACAACTTATACAACTAGGCGCACGAACTCCTTGCGTATCTATTTATGGCCATAGCTAACTACGCTAACTGGTGTTGTGGTCCGTTTATCTATAATATCTTGGTCATTCGTCCAGATGCTCATTGAGCTGGGCCAGCAGCGCTGCACGCTTGGATTCCAGTTCGCCATCACTCAGCGTCAGCTCCTCATTTCTAGATGTCGCCGAATCAGATTGAGCTGCAGGACTGAGCGGAGTCACTGAACGATTGTTCTGATGCCGTTGTTTGCTTTCCTTGTCCCGTTTGGTGCGCTTCTCTTTTTTCTTCTTTTTAGCGGGCGAGTGGGAATTTGAATCATTTTGCTGCAGGGCGGCAGCATTGAGGGGCGACTGATTGATCAAGTCCGATTCGCAAGATGACTGAAACAATAAATGTTGTCAGTGAATTTAAGTAAATCCATTTCAAATACTTACGGCTCTGGATTTGTTCTTGCGTTTYTTCTTCTTCTTTAACAGCTTTTCACTCTCAATGCTGCCAATTGAACTAAGCGAATTCTAAATGATAAATAAATATACAAAAAGGTTATTAGATAAGTTATTGACCATCAAATTCGTTTTACTTACGGAGCGTGATTTGGAACGTCGTTTCTTAGATTTTTCCAGTTCAACCAGCTCGTTTTCAATATCTGATCTAGACGTAGACCTAACACGTTTTTTATGCTTTTTATTCTTTTTGGATTTACGCGAGCGCGAATGATGGTGACTACAGGCATCTTCGCTCTCTTTGATAAAGTCCTCCCAAATCTTTTCCACGCCAATTTCTTTTTCATACAAGGCAAAAGCTTCTAAATGCTCGACCAGCTTTTTGGCACTGTCGTAGGGCTCGCTGACCGAGACATTCGCCTCCAACCATTCGTTTTTGATTTCATTTTCTAATTTACGCAAACGTCTTACTTCCTCCTTCATGCGCTCCTTTTCAATGGCCTCGGCCTGCAATTGAGATAATATATATATACAAATTTACTTTTATTATGATTTGAATGGCATTTATTTACCTTTTCCAGCAGCGCGTTATAGGTGAGCTTCACATTGCCCGCATCCAGGGTGGCGGATCGTTTGTCCTCGCACACGACGGTGGCGAAGTCCTCAAAGGATGTTTTCGCTTGCACTACAAATTGCTTCTCTTTGAGTATCTCACGTATGATCTTCTTTTCATCATGGAAGCGAGCTTTCAAATTCTCTACATAGAACTTAAATAGATCTAAAGGAGTAGATCCACTTTGACCCAACATAGCAGAGAATCGTATATCGGCCGATATAATGGGATATAGTTCTACCCACAACGACATGGAGGTGAGCTTTCCCTCTTCGTGAAGGGAATCGAGCAATGCGAGAAAAGCATCACGATTCTTACGCTGTTGCCGCTTTAACCTTTTCTTTTCCCTTTCCCGTTCCTCTTCCTCTTCCTTTTCCAGTGTGCGAATATGTTCCTCGAACACAATGAGCGCATCCTCTTTGTCCATGCCAAGCAGCGTCACATCGTTTTTAAATGCTGCATTATCCAGAAGCATAACCTGCGCTTCTGACCATGTGGTGGTGTACGTAATGGAGGTCATTGATTCCAGCAGCTCGCTGAGCACCTTCATATTCCTTTTCTTTAGTAAGCGAGCCTCCTCTTTCTCTCTCTTGGCCAAATTGAAGATGCAATCCTCATATATATCGCGCCGATCCTGTTCGGGCACTGCTGTCCAAGTTCGATTGTTGGCAAACACCTCTTCGCAGCGAAAGTATTTCATTTGCGAATTCATCTTATCGCTCGACATGAGAAACTGTTCCAAATCCTCTTTCGCTTTCTTAGCACGCAATCGCGATTCCTCGCGTTCATCTTTTATCTTTTGTGTTTTGTAGGCGTTAAAGGTTTGTTTGCGTTCGTTAAGATTTTTGAAGGCATTGTATCGCGGATCTTTGGATATGATCTTCACACACTGATCCCAGTTAGCAGTGGATGGTACATTACGATCGCGCAGAAGCTCCTTGAATGCCTCAATTGCCTCGCGCTTATCCTTGAAGACAAGGGTGTTATTTTCGGTGCCATTTTTATCATCTTTCTTATCTGAATATTCAAAGGATTCATTGATTGATTATTAATTGATATCTATGCTCCGTCTACTTACTATTCTGCTGTGGGACCTCGATGGCTGCTAACGTGGCAGCCATTGCCTGATCCATGGCTGAAGAACTATTTTCATTGCTACTCGGAGTCAGAGGCGAGTGAATTTCCGGCGTGGGTATTCGCGGCACTGTGGGCAATGCTGCAGGCAGTATATTGGCCAATGCCACGTGTGGTACCATGCCAGTCAAGCTGGACGAGGTCATAGCAGCCACAGCTTTAGCCGCTGCTGCTGCTCTGGAATGATATGTACACAATTTTGGTTAATCTTGGTGTTAATAATATCTACACTACAATACTTACTCCTCCGCCTTAGCTTTAGCCTTCATATCCAAATATTCCGGCGGTGGCTCCCAGCACGTTTCCTTGGTGCTCACATTGTGATAGTAAACCTTGTTAGCATCTGACCGATATTCCTTCCATGGACATTGATTATGTAGCAGCTCGGCAGGTGTCATCAGCGCCTCCGGTTTCTCCCACGAGCTTTGTTTTGTATTTTGATTATAGTAATACGGACGTCCGTCCGGCGCTTTATGTTCCGTCCACTCCGTATTCGAGGCAAGGGCACCGAATGCAGCTGCCAGTTCGGGTGGCGGCGGCGCTCCGAAGCCTGGCGGAGGCAAGTTAAATGGTGGCACTGGAACCATGCCCGGCGTGTGAGGATGTGTGTATCCCATGCCGCCCATTGCTGCAGCTGCTGCGGCTGCGGCAGCGGCGGCTGCTGCTGGCGGCATCGGCTGCGGTATAGCTGCATTGCCATTGCCAGCGCTAGGAGGAACATTCATATTTTCACTATTTTGCTATATGATTTAATGAATTTAACGTTTTGGTACGAGTACCGGTCGTTTTGTTGCGGCAGCCAATTCGATGCTTTTGACACAAATTGCAAATTTTAACTATTCTTTTTTTTACACTTCTACCGTTTTGTCATTCACAATGTTTGCTGCGTGGTTAATACGGAAAAGTATCAAGAAGCAGAAGATTTTTTTTTGGTATTCTCAAGACACTTGATACTTATCGCAATAAAGCTATCGAATCTATTTTTTTTTTTTTTWTTTTTAGAAATGGGGTTGTTTGATTTATTGCGTAAATATAGATGAGAAAATATAGGTCTTTAAACATTATCCCAGAATGAAAGCTATTAGTTAAACTATGAAAGACTAAATACATAATATATATTGGATGACAAATATATTAAAAATTAATTTTCAATTTGATACACGCGCGTGACACTATTAATCGATAGCTTTCATACCTACTATCGATACAATTATACGGTCTCTGCCAACACCAACAAAAAAGAAAGGAAAACTAAGATATGATATGGCAAAACGAAAGCGCGCCACTTGCTTTCATTTTCAGAATGGGAACCTCAACCAAAGACCCTAGTTTATTATAGACTATTAAAATAAAACGTCTATCTAAACTTAAGTAGTGCGTGAGACATACATATGTATATGTACATTGTATACGCATCGACGTATTTTATTGGCCCAAATGTAATGTACTTTACAATTAATCTAATTTAAAATGTCTACATTATAAAACAAAATTAAAGGTCAAAATTTTACTAATTTTAAATATTTGCACAACGCACTCGGCCAATTACAATCGCAAATTGCGCCTAACACTGTACATCAAATAGTTCGCAAATTCCTTCGTCATTTTTCAGAACGAAATTAAAGTCTTCTTGTGGAGGATTTAGTTGCACAAGTGGTGGATTTTCTGAAATTATAGATTATATTAATATTACAGTTAAATGCAAGTTATTAGAATTCCACAAATTACCTAAATTGGGATCATCGGGATAGAAACGCCTCAGTGAGTGGCCAGCCATATAATTTTGAAAGATTATTTTTGCTGTACGTTCATTCTCAAGCGCCTTCTCTTCCTTGTGCTCGGAATTACACGAGTACGTATGTTCATCCTGAATGACATTACCAGTGCCATTGCCTGCTTTACTGGAAGAATGTGTTGGCGACGATGATGGAGACGGTGAGTCTGAGTAGCGATCATCGAACGGACCATGAGCATCATTTGGATTTGTTGTTGCTTTGCCTTGGTTGGTGACCAAACGTATATCTATTGTGCTCCCATTATCTAGTGAAACTTTCAGTTCACGCTAATTAATCATATAAATTAAATTATAAGTATGAAATATATATGCGAGAAAGCTTATATAAAGTTTGCATACATCACTGCGGTGAATCTCCACTTCCTCATCGTAGTTGGGTATGGTAAAAACGGAATCGTCCCCAAATATTTTAAGTAAATCATCGCGTGTAACATACGCATAAGACTGATTTGTTGGATCCTGCATTATATAGTGTAGGTTACGCTGTGCATACTCCAATTGTCTATCCAAATCCTCCTCTATACTTTTCAAACGATTCGTTCGCTCACAGGCTACGTCATATTCTTTATGATCTTTGGCATTGTTGAAGCCTCCGCCACTAAAGCAAAATAAAGTAATATATATGTATTATCTCAAGTTGAGGTATAAACTAGTTAAACTCAGCAACATATGTGTAATAATAAAGAAGCTCTAAGGCACACTCGATTTATGCTAGTATAGGTAGTCCTTCTTACCGCCAACGCACTAACGAACAGTGTCTGCCCTTATCAATAAGGCCAATGCCCTCCAAGACGTTGGTGATATCATAAATACGTCGCTTCTGCACGTCCAAGATTTTCGTGGCCTGTAAGGAATATACACATACAAATTTAAGGATGCAATTGTGAAGTGAACATTACATACCTCTTTCAAGTCAATAGAGCCACCATTCTGTTTCATTAGATCTACAAATTTTTGGGTGAGCAATACCAGCGAGCCCACCGAGCGCTGTTGACTGTGTGGCTGTTGTTGTTGTTGCTGTATTTGTATTTTAGATTTTTGTTCTGGTTGTTCGTCCACTGCCATATCAATGTGGTAAGTATCGAAGGCTTTGGTATCCAACTTAATCTCATGGCTACTGCCAGTGTCATCATTGTCATCAGGGCTGCTGCTGCTGGCCGTGATGATCCGCTGCCTGGGTACTGGGGCACCAGATTTACGCTTATACATGGCGCGCTACTTAAATATAGATCTCAGTTCGATGTTTAAATTTTTATTTGTTGTCCTTATTGATTTGTGGCGTGATTCGGCAATGATTATATTCTTTTATTTTTAATATAAATCTCAATTAAATACAAATGTTGGCGCTTGAGCACAATTCCGCCATTTATGTCACTTTTTTCATTCACTCAGCGCTGCAATTAGGGTTGTTAATTTGCAATTTATCGACCAACCACCACAATTACAAGCACAAAAAGGTTGGCGCAATTAGTTATGTATGCTTTTCTGAAACCAAAATTATTACCTATTTTACAAATTATCTTTGTTAAACATAAAATCATTAAAGTTAAGCATATTTCTGCGATTCATATGGCTGTTTTGCTAATGCATTCTAATATTACAGTCTGTAGCTGTACCAATTTATCGAAACACCCAAAAGAGCTATCGATCAATTGAACATGATTATATATAATTATTTTAATCTACCATTTTTTTTTTTTTTTAAGTTTATCAACTAATATCTTACGATATTAATTACAATAATAGCATTAGAAGCCAAAAGTGATATTGGTTAGGCACGTTTCAACTGCACACCATGTGTGTATGTGAGAGGCGCGCTTTTACAGCTGCTTTAATTGCGTGTCACTCAATAATCGCAATTACTTCTTATTTGGAAGTAACTTTAATACTTGGCGCGGTTAGGTTTTATTTACTCAAATAAATCCACTTTATTAGAAAGTCTTTAACATTTCAAGCACGTTTTACACTGCTGAGTACTTAGCATGCAAGTCTTTTTATTTAAAGGATACGAAAATGCTGCACATTTTGTTTCTTACATGCGTATTCATATATATCTCGTTATATGTACTACGTATCACCTTTATACTATAGTGTTTTATTTATATTGTTATATTTTTATGAACTGAAGAACCGATATTTGCATATTGTACTGCACCATGCATTCACAATTCCTATTTTGAACGAGTCATGCGCGCCCACATGGCATTGAGACATTTGTATTTTCCAACACTTCAAGTATTTCCCCATCACTATTTTTTTGTGAGTTTGTTTTGCTTACACATTCTGTACAGACACAACGTGCACAGTCGATTTATATTCAAATTTATTTCAAAACAATTGTATAAAGAATACAATGCCTTCAAAAGTGAAACCAAGACTTTCGCGCGGCTTGTTGGACATGAAGTTCATGCAACGGACCAAAGCGAAAGTAGCCAAAGAAGACGATGACGAACAGAGCCGCGCATTGTACTCCAATGAGATGAATCAAAAGATGCTCAATAGTAATTCCAATTTTATTATCGAGCCAAGTTATTCCATTTGTGCAGGATTGATCGATGGGCGTCTTAGCTTCCGTGGTATGAATCCTGAACTGGAGCGCCTAATGGAACTGGAGCAAGCTGAAAAACAAGGCAATACGAGGCCAGAGCAGCCAACAGAAGTCAATGATCAGGAAATGGCTGAGATATATTATGCAAATCAAGCGCCAGCCGCAAGCAGAACGATGAACAAAAAGTTCGTCACAAAAAACGAGTACAAGCGCAAAGCCAATGACAATCCCAAATGGCAAAAGAAAGGACAATTTAAGAAACCACGAGAAGATGACGAGGTTTAAATAAACACTATAAGCATATTACATAGTGACTTAACTCTAAATATTAAATAAACTTGCTCAGCTGCATTCAGATGGCATCTGTTTAACAGCTTGCAGCGCATAGCAAAGCTGTGTGGAGTTGATCCAGCGCCAAGTGTTGCGACAAAAATCGTAGGTGCTGCCATTGACGAGCACGGTTTGACAATTCACTGCAAAGACATTGGATTAGTTATTATTTAATTTTACGCTACATCATTTATCTTTTTAATTTGTAAAATAGATAATCAAATATTTGTAGTTACTCTTCATAGTATAAATTTCTTATGTGAATTTCGATGTTTCAATCGCATGCCAAAATTGCTCAATGATTTTGTATATCGCTTACTTGTATCCAATATGCGTTGAACATCCAGTGGCGCAATCATTTTATCCCAGTGATGCGTGCCCTTGGGTGCTATATTTAGGATATATTCACCAACGACGACGCCGCCGATCCACATTGGCACAGTTTTGTTCATGGTGGTTATGAATATGGAACCGCCAGGTTTGAGAGTCTTTACGCAAGCGCTTAGTAGAGCCACCTTATCGTCAACATGCTCTAGAACTTCAGAAACTACTAGCGCATCATACCTCTCGAAATTCGCTTTGACATGCTGGTCGATGGGTTCCATTTTGTATTGGACTCTATCACAGAGTTCGGCACTGCAGTTGCTCAAATGTTCTTTTGCCGTTTTTATCAGTTCCTCACCAAGATCGATGCCTGTAACTTGAGCGCCCAAGCGTGCAAGTTGCTCGGTTAGTAAGCCAGCTCCACATCCAACCTCCAATATGCACTGTCCACTCAATACTTTTGTTGTGTTTATATAACGTGAATTTACATTGCCGCGTGCCACGATTCCATCGCGTATTAGTGGAACTCTAAGAAGAGAATTTCAATATAAATTCTAGTTGGCATCAACTCACTTACCTAATTTCATTTAGGGCATGCAGCGCTGCCATTGGACCTTTCTTATTCCACCAATTGGCGGCCAAGTTTTCATGATGCTTCACTTCGCGAATCGTTTCTGATGTTTGCTGCGTAGACCCAGTACCTGCACCAGCATCTAAACTGAATTTCCTCGCCAATAGACTGTGGAAAGAAAATAAATATTTTCACTTTCTTTTGTTATTCTACACACACATACTTGCTGCGTTTTAAGAAGCTTAGGTTTCGAATCATTTTTACGTCTTGAACTTTAACAAGCAGCTGTTTTTGTTTATTTTTGTCCTCAAAATGGTAATAAGTTGTTAAACAATCGATTTCTTGAGCCGGTCGGTAACCGATAACAACATATGAGAGATGACGATCTAAACAGCTGAAAAGCTAACATGAAAAAGCTAAAAATTGATTTATGTACTTTTGCAATAAGCCAATTTTTTAAAACCTCTCGACAATACCAAGGCCAATGTATAAATGTATGGCGATATAAATAAACTGAGTATTAATTACAAAATATGCTAAGGCTAGATTAGATATTTCGAAAACAATACATAAAAAGCTTACTTAGCTAAAGCCGTCAAGCCTTATTATCGTGGGAGCATCTGAGTGTCAATCGATAGATATCGATGCACATTTATAAGTAAATTGGTCAATTATCAACGCTTATTAGTTACTGACATTTTGATAAGGATATGGTAGACAAATTGGTTAACAAATTTGATAAACTCCATTAGTTAAAAATCGAAAGATGTACAAGCCTCAACCACTTATCAACCATGAGGACGACGTCGAGCAGGCTTCGAATAGGAATGCGCAAAGAGGAAACGTATATGCGCTGCAAATGTTCCTTCTATCTACATTCCTGTTGCTATTTATAGCCGGTTCCGCTTTGCATCCAAAGTCTTTTGCACTTAAAACCAAAGAACTTCCACGTGATGATACGATATATGATTGCAATATAACACTAGTGGAGTCCATACCCATTGGTCTAAACTATACGCCCAACAGTCCGAAGTTCATCAGCACCATTGAGGCGTGGCAAAAACTTTTGGATGTAGGAAGAACTTCATTGGACATTGGCTCTTTTTACTGGACAATGCGCAGCGAGGATTTGGGCTTGAATGAGAGCAGTGCAAAACCAGGAGAGGAGATATTTCAGCGTCTGCTGAACAATGGCAACGGTGTGGGTTCAAAGATTAAGATACGTATTGCACAGAGTGCCCCTTCAAACGTTTCTCCGGATGTGGATACGCAAATCCTGTCCACCTATGGAGCTGCCGAGGTAGTTACTCTTGATTTTCCCAAGTACTTTGGTAGTGGCATATTGCACACAAAACTCTGGATTGTGGATGGTCAGCACTTCTACTTGGGCAGTGCCAACATGGATTGGCGTGCCCTAACCCAGATCAAGGAAATGGGCGTCCTCGGACAGAATTGTCCACAATTGGCCGGCGATTTGGCTAAGATATTCAAAGCTTACTGGTATTTGGGTAGCAATCCCGATGCTCGTATACCAAATTCTTGGCCCTATGGCTACAATACCAACTACAATGCGGAACAGCCCATGTTATTGAATGTGAATGGGAGATACATAATGAAGGGATATGCATCCAGTTCCCCGCCTCCACTTTCTGCAGCTGGACGCACTAACGATTTGGATGCCATTCTAAAGACAATTAACACAGCTCTTAAATTTGTGCACATTTCTGTTATGGACTACTATCCTTTAATCATGTTTGAATCGAAGATTAAATATTGGTCAGCGATCGACAATGCATTACGTACAGCAGCCGTGGAACGTGGAGTAGCTGTTAAGATGCTCATCTCTTGGTGGAAGCATTCCGATAAGCGTATGGACAACTATTTGCGCTCACTGCAGGATCTAACCATGGCTAACCATGTTGATATACAAATTGTAACTATGAAACTCTATAGGCAACAACATTACTACTACTAATTACTTGCCACTCTTGCAGCGCCGTTTTATTGTGCCCATGGATGAGCAGCAGCAGCGCATACCCTATGCCCGCGTTAATCACAATAAGTATATGGTCACCGACCAGGTGGCCTACATAGGTACTTCAAATTGGTCGGGCGATTATTTTGAAACCACAGCGGGCATTGGTTTGGTTCTGAAAGACCCGTTGCCCCAAATGGCGAATTCCATACGCAAGGATTTGGAAAGCGTTTTTGATAGGGACTGGAATAGCACATATGCTCACATATTAATCTAAGCTCACTGCAAAAGCGTTGCCCTTTATATCATTTAAGTTTTAAAGCTTGTTAACAGTATTTTACCTATGCTGCACAGATAGTCTCATGATTGAGTGATTGATTAATATGAGCTGATTTTTGTTAAATATGTGGCACTTACAAGTTTGTTTAAATAAATATGAAAACAAGAGTTGTGAAATAAACAGAGTCAAATAATCAATGTCCAATTCCGTTTAATACTTGCTATCATGTATACATATATACATATATATATATATATATGAATGCTTACATGTATATATGTGTGTATATAATTCAAATACTCTCATAACTTTAACATAGTTGTCCTTGTACAGGCGCGTCACTGCTACCGAGATTATTTCTTATTTCTACTATTTCACATTGTGTCCGCCACGTCGCAAAAAATTGTTGCTAGCAATGCACTTTTCAATAATAACATTAATGTCCGACACGCAGCTCGAGAGGCACGCATAGATCAACAGCAAACAACGGGCATCAATGGCTATAAAGGAGATCAATTTATAGAATTAGATAAAAATAACTCAAACTAATGGATCTATATCAAGATTAGGTTCCCACCTGCATAGAGTATTTGTTCTCTTCGCAACGGTCGATTTGCCCAATTTGAGCACTGATTCGCTTTGTTCAGTTTTTTGCCCAGACAGAGCATAGAAAGATCTGTGAGCGCATCTCCGGCACGATTGACATTTCCAAAAGGCAGCTCGACTCCTTGCCTTTTCTTCAGCTCCAGCCACACGTTGCGTAGATCGAGATAATGATGCGGCATATGGAGGCGTAGCTGAAGAGGCAACGATCGTTGCAGCACCGACAAATCATTCAACATGGAGAAACCCACTTTGAGTATGTTGGGATTGTTGAACACCGTGGCGCCCAGCGCACGCCAGTGTTGCTCCTCCAGTGCTGGCCGACTAGCCAAGCAATCAATTAGGTACACATTGCAGGTGGTCGCAATTTGCAGTAGACAAAGCTGATTTTGCGCACAAACATTTTGCATCCACTCAGAGTCCAGGTAGATGATATGCTCGCGCTGCAAATGCTTCAGCATTCGATTAAAGATTGGAAAAGAATCTACTATGATGAGGCACTCGTCTGGCAAATCCATGCAAAGGTACAATTCACAAGGCATCGACTCGGTTGATTGCTCTTCAGTTACTCGACAGTTTTGCAGATCCGATTTTTGTGAGATTAGCGATTTGATTTCATGTGGACAATGTTCGTTGAGAATCTTAAATTCATTATACCAATAGATGGCTTCTGATTCGTAGGGACTGTTTACGGATGCAGCTGCTATATAGTTAACAAAATCCAGACGCAGCGCATAATCCGAAGCATGCACCCTAACCAACTCCCGAAAGCTGGCCAGATTAATCCTCTGCTTCTCATATTCTCGATACAGGTAATGTAGATAACTGCAGGTCTTGGTGAATTTATAGTTGGGCGTTATGGTATCGTCGAAGCCATATTTTTTGGCCAAGCGAGCAACGATCTTTGAGATAGGACGATAGCTTAGCACGTGATGGGAGACTTTCAGATTCTTATAGCGACTGCGAAAGAGAAAAGCTTAAGATATTAATCGATTTCATAGTAGCTGTCAGCCATCAGTTAACTATCGATGATTTGAAACGTGATCGACACGTGCTACCGGAGGACCTGTGCGTCAAGTGTCTAGCTTTGAGATGAATGGTGATTGATCGTTACTATGCTTATATATAATCATGTTTACACAATCTGTATAATGCTTGTAATAAATGTATAATGCTTTTGTACATATTTACCTCAAAGTCTGTTCACACATCTCGAAGACAGATTTTTCCCTGTGCAGCAGGGAATCGAGAAATTGTACAAAAGGCAAACGCTGTTGCGTTGCTTGATCCAGGTACTCTTCAGCTAACGGTAGTTTTTCTTGTGCTATCAAGGGAAATGCCAACTCCAGAATATCAAATTGATGAGTCAGCTGTAAATAGAGAGTCCATTGGGCCACCTCCTTATAGTAGCCCTCATCGAGCATCTTTTTCAATTTAGGTACGAGCAGCTCCCTGATTTGGTTAATACGATATGCTTGGACCATGGCATTATTTAGTGAAGGCAAGCCCGTTGTCTTAACAAAATGAAATGCAATCATGCTCGTATTTTTGTCGCATTGCTCACTGAGGTGTGGAAAATCCACCTGCAGTTTGCAAACGGTATCGAGCACAAAGTGCGATAGACTTTTGTTCTTCACATTACTGCTGTCCGGGCAATTAGCAAAGATTTTGAGTGCCATTAACAGGGGATTGGGATGTTGCATTAGCGCTTTAATCAACTCCTGTCTCATATATGGCGAAGATTTGCATTTGCTGTGCATATTCCATTTATCACGAAAGGCGGTGAAGAACTGTTGCAAGTTTTCGTCCAAGGTGGCGTCAAAGTCGCCATCGATGCCAGCACCTGAGGATGTAGTTCAAAATCATATACAGCAATATGAATAAACAATCCCATGTGCTATGGTAATAATTCAATTCATCTACCCGTTGTAATATCCTCTAATCGCTTAATCTTCAAATGTGCCAGCATACAATCAAGTTCCTCATCATCAGACTCCATGCCAGCTGGCATTACCTTATAGTTATGAGCCATATTTGTTTTTATCACTCGTATTATTATTATTATTATTATTTTTTTTTTTTGTGGGCGCGCAGCCCTTTACTTTATGCACTTGCAAAAATTGATAACCAAATTCCGTTTGCGGTGTAAAAACATATGTTTTTACATTCAGGTGCTTAACATAAACCGTCCGCTGTTAATAACAGCTCAACTGTTAATAACAGCTAAACTGCGTTTCAATTTTGAACAAATTCTAATCTATAGATTCTCTAAGAGCAATTTATTTTTAAGCAGCCCATATAATATTATTTTATTTATTTATTTATTTGATGACAACAATTGACCGGTTCGCCTACTTTTGAATTTAACAGGCTTTGAATAATCTGACACTGATGACAGAGACGTTAGTGCTATTCGATTATTGTAAACTCACTTGGTACTGACAAGTATCGGTGCCATCTTAATATGAAAAACTCTAATGTACTCTTGCGTCGATAATTTAGTACGCTAGATAATCCGTTATTATTTTATATCGATATATGAAGTTATTTCCGCGCATCAAATGCGTGTTCTGGAATTAGTAAATTAGCTCTAAATAATAGCTTTCCACGCTAGATTAGTATTGTCAGTTATAAATCGATATTTACAAATGCTTCGAAAAACTAGATATAAAGCTATATTATTTTGCATTTAACTCTTTATTCACACGTATATAAAATTTATACTATTTTAATCATGAAGGTAGACTTAGCTATTAGATAGCTATTATATAAACTGAAAATGAGTGTTTTTAATGAATGCAATAGATAATTGGCATAATGACGAATATAGCAATTTTGTACTCATTAAATACAATCTAGTGTACCTATTACGACAGGGCTGCGTCGCCCTTATTTATTTGAAACAGTCTAAAAATACATTTTAAATGATTTATAAAAAAAGCGTTGCATAAACCTGATATACTGTAAGAAATATCAATGACTGCTACAGACTCGCAAACTGGCAATTCAAGATTTATGAGCAACAGTTAGGGGGCTTAAGTGCCAACATGACAGTTGAACAGCAGCTAAACTTTACCTGAGGCTTTTTTAGAATTAGCATACGACAAGCTGAAACATAACCAGAGTTTTATTTTATACTATATATAGGTGCAAGTGCGCTGCTCAATCAAGGTCAACTGGCCCTGCTCCAGTTAAGTTCATATACATAACTTTCGATTTTAGCCAGGTGCATAATTTATTGTCTGTAGTTAACAAGTTGGATTTGTTTAGCTATGCGGGCTGTGGTCAACACCCCTGTATCTGTTGATCTGTAAGTCGAAATGATTAATTGCTTTATTTACATATCGTAATGTACACCCTATATCGATGGAAATTGAGATATTATTATTATAGTTATGATTATTTTTATTAAG